CCACTACCACGGCCACCAGCGCCACCCCGACGAGGAGTTCCGCTGCAACGCTGGGCACCACCACCAGCACCACCACCAGCAGCATCAGCAGCCACAGCACCACCATCAACAGCAGCAGCAGCACCACCACCACCACCACCATCAACAGCAGCATCAGCAGCCCCCGTGGGAGGACCCTGAGGAGCGCAGGCGCAGATTCGCCCCTGCTCACCAGGAGCCAGAGGACGACAGGCGCAGATACGCCCCTGCTCACCAGGAGCCAGAGGAAGACAGGCGCAGATACCCCCCTGCTCACCAGGAGCCAGAGGAAGACAGGCGCAGATACGCCCCTGCTCACCAGGAGCCTGAGGACGACAGGCGCAGATACACGTCCCCCCACCAGCACCGTCTCTCGCCGCCGCCCAGCCCGCGCAAGAAGCAGCGGTGCGCCTTACATGACCGGGTCGACATCGAGAGCACCTCCAGCTCTGGCCCGCTGCCTTCACGCCATCAGAGGCAGCAGCCCCATGCCAGCTACGCCGCGGTTGACAGCTTTGTAGATAGGGCCCCTGCGCATCCTGGCTACAGCCACGAGAGCTTCTCAACACACAGCGACAGCAAGGGCAGCAGGAAGATTCAGATGGTTTCACAGACGTCAACGCTGTCTGGCGAGCGTGGCTCGCCGCGCTCGCCACGTGCCACCATTGTCGCGCATCCGAGGCGCACTCCGCAGAAGGAGCCTGCCCCAAGGAGACTTTCTGTGTGGCAGAGGATAGAGGAGGGCCCTGCTGCTGCTACACGGCCGCCGCCACCGCCACCGCCAAAGGCCTTGCATATTTCACCAGCCAAGTCGAGCACTGCCGGCTCTGCTTCAAAGGGATTGGCCAGCGTGATCTCTGTGGACTGCAAGGCAAAAAGTGCTGGTAGTAATGAGGTTGACAGCACTAAAGTAATACAGAAGGATGCTGGAAAGAATGTTAGGAAGGTGTTGTCCTCAGTTCTTGTGAAACCTTCACCGGAGTCCAAGGAAAAAGAAGGGTTTGTTGAGAAGCTTCCTGGGAAGCATGATAATGTTCAGGAGAATGTGTCAGATTCCCCTAGTAAAAGTCTGGGCTTAGCTGGTCGTCCTGTGGCTGGTGTCAAGAAAGTGAAGAAGATAGTTATCAAGAAGATTGTGAGGAGGATTGTTGGCAAGGATAAACAAATTAGTAGCGAAATTGTATCTGAGAAGAGGGATAATATTGATGCTATTGCAAATGCTTCTGAAAAAGAAGAGGGTGAAATCATAACCTCATCGCTGGAAAAGGATACTGTATCTGAACATAATATGGTAAGCACTAGTGGTACAGCTGGAGCTGGTAATGGTGTGAATGTCCAGAAGGGTGAAAATAGCAACTCGATAAATCCATGTAAAAGGAAAGCCACTTCAGCCATCGAGTCCAAGAAAATTCTTGATTCAACAAATCGTAGTGGGAGTAAGCACCTTGGAAAGGAAGACAATAGAAGCTCCATGGGTCGAGGTGATATTATTGCTGCTTCAGCCATTAAATCTACAGAAGCACTTGCTACAAGACGAAGTGAGCATCCTGGGAAAGGAGATAGGAGCTCCATGGATTCAGGTGTTAGGAGTGCAACTTTGGTGTCTACGAATGATAATTATCAGGAGGAGGGTGAAATCATGCCTCTTTCAGGTGAAACGAGTGCTGCAGTTGCAAGTAATCCTCTGAGAATTTCTAATAGGCATACAGAATCTAGCATGAAAGAGAGCAGAGCTCCTAAGAATGTCAGTAAAAAAAACACTGTTTGCACAAATGGAGTTACTGTAAATCATGATACGGCAGAAATTTCTGGAAGTGAGGATGCTAGGAGGGAAGACAATGACATCTTGATTAACACAAGCGAAGAGGATGTTCGCCGTGTAAGTAGTACACCAGAAGTTACTATATGCAAGAGAAAGGGTGCTCAGAAAGGTGAGGGTATGATTCTGACTGGTTTAGATGAAAATAGTATTGGTAATGTTTCTGTGGCACACCATGTGAAGATTTCTAATACAAGGGAACTCGATGTGAATGAGGATACCAGGACCAAAGAGAGCCAAATCCCCATAGAATTATGTCAAACTAACACTTCGAAAACAATACACCACTTGGAAGCTCCTGATACATCAGAAACTACCATGAGCAAGTTTGTTGGGAGGAAAGTGGGCAAAAGCCTCATGGGGTCAACTGAAAGACATGCTACCACCACATGTAATTCTGGGAGCACTCCAGAATTTAATTTAGCTGGTGGATTCGGCAATAGCCACAAGGAAGATCTTCTCAATGACGGAACTGCTTTCAATGAAACAGATGCTCCCCTGGAAGTTGAAGGTAGAGATTTCTTTAATCTGTCATGTTCCAGAAATGTTGAAAGCATGAATGTGCCACCATTAGATGATGATCTTATGGAGGATTTAACCCGGGATATTGTTTTGAATAATGGTATAGAAAGGGGTGCTACAGCTCAGGTAGCAGAACTGATCAATCTTCATAGAGGTCATCTGTCTCCCGAGATTGATTTTCCCTTGGCACATTCCCGTGAATCTTCATCTTCTGGTAACAGCGAGCAGTCTGTTCCTACAACTTTGACACTTGGCAGTAATTTCTATTTCAGTAATAACATCGAAAGTGAGCGACAGCTCAAGGAAAACCATGAGCTGCTGGAAGGGCAGAAAGGATTAGATGTTTCCACAGTGACAGAATTTGATAGTCTTGTAAAACAAAAAGGTGTGGCTGATGATGACTCAGTTGGTGCAGGTTCTCAAAATTGGCTGACTTTACCGCCAGCGGTCAACAGCATTGCTATGTCTGAGCAGTTTGTGACTAACGATGCTACTGTTAGGAAAGATAGGATAGGTTTGGATCAGAGCGTGGATAATGACACTTCTGTTAGTCAGGATCATGATACTGCACAAGGTTTGGAGCAGTGTGGAAGTGTGGATGCTTTCTCTAGTCAGGTTAACAGCATTAGGCTATCTGTATCTGGTAGTGATATGCCTCAGTCAGACTCATTGACACCCAAAGAGATCAGTGGCGTTGTTGAGAAACATGGTGAGATAGTTCTCTCGGGTTTGCACTCTATTAGTTCAATAAATGTTGTAGATCAACATGATAATCAAATGGTGGATATTTCTGTGGGCAACCCAACTGAACCTGCTATCCCAGCTGTAGAATCTATTGATGTGATGGATGCAGAGCTAGTTTCTCCTCAGGTATCTGTTGAGCCGGATAATACCTATGACAGTAATAAAGGAATCAGTGGTGATGTTGAGAAACATGGGGAGGTAGTTCTCTCTGGTTTGCACTCTATTAGTTCAATAAATGTTGTTGATCAACATGATCATCAGATGGTGGATAATCCTGTGGGTAACCCAATTGAACCTGCCATCCCAGCTGTGGAATCTACTGATGTGATGGATACAACGCTTTCTCCTCAGGTTTCTGTTGAGCCAGATAATAATACCTATAACAGTAATACTGAAGGTACTGTGGTTAACTCAAGCACAAAGCGAGATATGTTGTCTTCTTGGATTGAATCCATTGTGTCAGAAGCTAAAAAGGATCATCAACCATGCAAATCTACTTTACCTTCTATTAGTTTGCCAGTCTTAGCACCAAAGGAGGATAGCAGGAGAGCAGGATTGGACTCGGTTGGAAACCCTGTGGGGAATTCTCCTCAGATGAATTGTACAAGCTCTATGCCTCCCAAGGTAGCTCCTAAACAGGCGAATTTGCCCAGTTCATCCCGAGAGCCTCCTCGTGTAAGTTCAAATCCAAGGCACAAGACATGGCATCGTGGTGACATGACATCTTCTACATCTTTGCCCAGTTCACAGCCTTCAGGATTACCGCCTAAACAACCACCAAGGCAGAATGACAAAACTCAAAACTCTTATATACGCAAGGGTAACGCCCTTATTAGAAATCCAGCAACAGGAAAACTTTCTCATTCTTCTAGTCTGGATACTCAGAATAAGTTGAATAAGCCTGTGATGAGGAGAAGCATGAACTTTGTCAGGAAAGTTGATTCAAATGATTCTGCAGCACGTTCGAGCTTTACAGTTGAAAGACCTAAGACTCCTCCTTTACCACTTCATGCCAAATCCATCAATTCAACCACAAGCCTTCCAGAGCAGTTGCCTAAAACTTTGCCCAAGCAGCATGTTCCTGAAACTGAAAAAGAAGATTCGGCTAGGCAATTAAACTCAGGTGTTGATACCCCAAGCATTAAAAGTGCACAAACACCTGAACCCTCAGATGCTAGTAAAGTGGTTTATGTTAGACCGAAATCAAATCAATTGGTTGCTGCACAGAGGCAGCACCCTGATGACCCGACTAAAAGTTCTACAGATAAGGTTTTATCACAGCAGCCACCCACAGCCTCTGATTTATATTTCAAGAAGCGGAAAAATCAGATTATTTTGAGTTCATCTTCCTCTGATGGTCAGAATACAAAAGAGATTGCACCTGCTGAGAGCTTAACTTCAGGTGAGAGTAATGTACAAATTGCATCCTCGAACAACAGTATCAATGGTTTAAAGGAGAGACCACATAAAGGTATTCTGTTTTCTTGTATTCTTTGTTTTCCTTCTGAGGCATACCACAACTGCAACCTTATACTTGAATAAGAAAGCAATGCTAACTCATTAAACTACCATTTGCTCAAACATTTCTAAATGCAGCTCTTCGGACAAATAATATGGGAACTTCCTCGCACGTGTGGACACTCAGTGGGCAACAACCACAGAGGAAAGGATCTGCGGGAACTAGTTATGCGAAGGCCTTCCCACGTATTCTTCCATGGAAAAGAAAAATATACTGCAAGAATTTTAGAAACAGTCACACTCAGAATGTGAGCTCCTTACGAATAGTCAGGTAACATTAGCAGACTAGCCTGAACTTCTTTCTTTCTCTATTGAGCCATTCATTCAATTTGTTTATAGCAAGTCTTTGCCCCTTATCATGTAACAGAAAACTATTACAAACCAAGAAGAGAGATATGATTTATACTGTCTCAACTAATGGATTCTCTATACGGAAATCTGGCGTGTTAAGTGTTGGTGGATCAAGTTTGAAATGGTCACGATCTCTTGAGAAGCGTTCTCAAAAGGTTAACGAGGTAACTTAATTGATATTCTTTGTGCATATTTTTTCGTATTCAGTATTCCGTAAGAGCCAGTTGGAGTTATTTTCATCAGATCATTATGTTCTGATGGGTTTCACCTCTAGCCTACCCCAACTTGTTTGGGACTAAAGGCTTTGTTGTTGTTGTTGTTGTTGCTGTTGCTGTTGTTGTATTATGTTCTGATGGGAAGCCCACAAGAAGTATTTGGGAGACGACTTGATTTATGTTACTGGTTGAATTTTGTTGTCTCTCAAGAAGTTTCTAACTACTTTGTCGGCTAATGTCTAACGAGAATGCTGATTCTTGCCTATATTAGTGCTGATTATACTTGACTGCTATTTAACTAGTCATAAGAGCAGCCATGCAACCAACTTTTGAAAATGCATTTAACCATTTACATATCAAGACCACATTATTGTGTAGTGCATATATGGTGCGTTTTACAAAGTTACAACCTGGATTGCAGGAGGCTACATTGGCAGTTGCTGACGTTGAAAAAAAGAGAGGAGAAAAACGGAAACGGCAATATCTCCATTATACTGGAAGAAATGGTAATGTGTTAAACTTATTGCCACTACAGAAGAATGACTCAACTGCTAAAATAATTTATACGTGAGATACATAAGTTTGGCTGCTCCTGCTTCTCAATTGCTCTTTTTTAGTGTAATAACATAACTTCCATGCTACACCATATTGCAAGACAGATTCCCAGTTGCATTTTTATTCTATAATACTTCTGTGGTCCACTATATTACAAGTCTAAAGTTGAATTACCTACTGGCTGGACATTTTACTGCTGGTCTTAGTTAGCTAAATCATCACTTTGTGGCGATTCCATTTTGAAGTGCAGTGCATGAGACATGCTCTCTTATGCCATAATTTAAGGACCTTCTCTTATTGGTTAATAGTAATTGCATATAGCAGTGCTTCCAGTGGATGTAACGACACTGATCATTCATCTGGTCAGTATATAATTTTTTGTTTTTACTTGATATTGGTCAAAATTTGCAGATCAATACTCTTTATCTGTTGCTGGCAATCAGTTAAGAAACAACAATCAAGCTTCTTCAGATTTGAGGAGGTCATCAACTTGCAATGGGTATCTTTTTGACCATATGCTATTGCTTGCATGATGCCGTCTTAAAATAGAACTTGTTTGCATCTAGGATCTTTCAACTTTGATTTATTCTCTGATTCTCTTTATTCTGAAACAGATATGTACGTGTTAGCAAAGGTAACCAACTGGTTAGAAACCCCAAAAAAGTAACTCGCATGCTAGCAAATGAGAAAGTTCGATGGAGTTTGCACACTGTTAGATCACGCCTGGCAAAGAAACGACAGTACTGTCAATTCTTCACTCGGTTTGGCGAGTGCAAGAAGCCTAAGGGCGAGTGTCGCTATATTCATGACCCTGCTAAAGTGACTATTTGCACTAAATTTCTTAAAGGCCTGTGTTCTGATACTAGCTGTAAACTCACTCACAAGGTAAGACATTTCTTCTTGATTCTATTGCCTATCTTGCATTTGACACTTCTTTCATTGTAAGAGTATGTTCTGCAGGTCCTCCCGGAAAGAATGCAAGATTGTTCTTATTTTCTGAAAGGTGATTCATTTCATTCGCAGTGCATCATTTTAGAATTTTGTTTCTGCAACATTTTTCTTGATCATAAGATTTGTATTCTGGCAGGTCTCTGTACCAACACAGCTTGTCCCTATAGGCATGTGAAAGTGAACTCTAAGGCTCCTGCCTGTGAAGATTTTCTAAAGGGATACTGTGCAGATGGTGATGAGGTACTTAATGATACTACTGAAATCTTTCAATCTTATTCAAGTATTACTATTGCTAGGGGGTGGAATTCAGCATTGTCCTCAAAAGCTGATAGTTAACTTGCCAAAAAAAAAACCCAGACTGAACCATTGTGAAAAATGTCCCTTACAGAATGTGATGTAAACTATAATATGCCCTACCCTCCTGCCAACCATTTAGTATTATTAATTTAAAGTTCTTGGTAGGTATAATTTACTGCATGAGACTTCTTGTGTTTTTGCTGGGATCTAGGAGGACATGCATGTTCTTAGTCGTGGCAACGAGGATTATCCAGTGGGTGGTTTAGCGTTTAACTGTTGATAGGTTATCAAAATGAAGATTTTGTTAGTAGGTTGTTCTTTTTTGTTGTTGGAACTTGTTTGTGCCAGATATGCTTGCAGTGTAGTTTTGCATGGTTTTGCATTGCAACCAGGTTCAGCTTTTGAACTTTGGGGCTTCCATGATCTTTTTGGGGCGTCCATTGCTAATCTTTTCATGGTCTTGAATTAATCCTCTGTTACAAGCAGTGTCGTAAAAAGCACAGCTACACATGCCCAGTCTTTGAGGCAACAGGAGAGTGCCCACAACAATCTACGTGCAAACTTCATCACCCCACCAAGAAGACAATCAAACCTAAGAGAAGCAGACCAGACACCCCCCAAAACAGTAGCTGGGGACGGTATTTTGACACCAGCATTAGACATGACAGCGAGACAAGCAAAGTTTCTTCAGGCCAAGATGACAGACAGAAACAGCAACATGATATTTTCTCAGGTGGGGACTTCACTGACTTTATCACACTTGACATTGATGGTGAAGAAGGCGTTGATGCGCTGGACAGCATACAGAGTGTTGATGCGCCGGACAGCATACAGAGTGTTGATATGCCAGACAGCATACAGAGTGTTGATGCGCCAGACGGCATACAGCTGATGGAACTGGACTCAGGGGAACTTGGCACGGAGGCTGATGATCTTGATGCACTAATCAAACCTCTTCGGATCATGAGAACGGCAAGAGTGTGACAGGCTAACTGCTGCTTGAACTTGGACCAGGGAAAAGTTCAACATTTCAGCATGCGGGCCTTCATAATCTTGATGCACAAGCAAAGCCGCTTCGGATCATGAGGGTAAAGAGTTTGATGGCTGATGGGACAGTGCTAAGGGGATTCAAGTTTTGGACATGCAGATTGGTGCTCAAGCTGACTCGGACCGGCGAGAAGAACAAGGGTTTGACAAGTTTTTCGGTTATCTCGGATACCCGCTGTTGATATAGTGCTTTGCTGCGCCACACCAAGCTGCGGCGCTGACTGGGTTTTCTCTTCGACATATCCATATATAGATAGGGAAAACATGCCTTGTCATCCTTTTTTCTTTCCTTTTTTAACATCTCGTTTCCATTCATCTTGTACTTATGCATAGGTTACATTGTCTCAAACATAGAGTGGGAGCAACTGGCTGTATTACCTGTGTGTTGAATGTAAAAACACATATCATATCTGTGAAAGAAGCAATGCAACTTTATTTCAAGCTTGCCTTGTGAGCCTGTTTTCCTGTGCGTGTACCTGTGGACCATAGCCCCATGGGTGTTTGGCATCCATGGTTGTCACACACTGGTATAGTGGTATGCCGTTCGTGTATCAGATAGTTATGTTATCAGCAGATGGCGCAAAACGTAGGCGTGTACAGGAGTACTTCTCTACATATGTTTGAAGTAATAAGCAGAGGTTCGACAGCACCGATTTCTTTTTCTTCATCAAGTATATGTAGATAGTTGCACATGAGCAAAATCAAGCTAGCTGGACATACTGATACTTGTCACCAAACGAGAAGATCTACACACAAAAAGGAAGAATGAAAAAAAAAGCTGCTGCCAGAATACAGTTGCGGAACCAAAAAAGTTGAAAAAAAACAGGAGCCGTATGCCGTGTTTGTATGTAGCTCATGCCGGTCGAGGGACGGGGCCGGCATCCGCTGGAGAGATTGTCACGGACCGCAGTAGCTCCAGCGAGCTCGATAGCCCGAGAAAATGCGAGAGGATGGTGTTGGCTGAAGCCTGTCCATGACGAGAGACAATGACAATTAATACTCAAAATGAAGTGCCAAGTTAAAAAAGATTCTACTCCCTAGATACATCCGTTTCAACGACAATTCATATGGATAGGAGAGAGAGTAGAAAATGTGATCCTATGTCCGGCAATTTAAAGGTGTTCTTAATATTTGTGAAGATTGCACATTTTGTTACTAACCCTGTAGATCAAAGATCACATTACAAAACTCAAACAGACCACTTTGCAAGATGGGAGGAAAAGGACCACCCCTGGAAGCTCTTCTCGTTCTGCAAACAATCAAAATGAAGGGAAGCCACAATGCATACCTGAACGAGAAAAACATCCAGAGCAAGAACTGGGCTCTGGCCAGCGGATATCCCCTGGTAGTAGGGCACCGAGGAGGTAGTGAGAGCTTTTGCTACCAAAGCACCAACAGTCGCCTGCATCCCGAGGACCGCAGCACCCATCCCGACAACGCTGAGTGCAATACTGTTCCTCAGGTTTTTAACCACAGCCGCACGCGGAGGGGCCTGTAGAAGGAGCCACTCGACTTAGTTTTGGCTAAAATGCACATATAAGCAGAACCAAGCAATATTATGTTACTTCAAAAGAGATCAAGTAGCGGTGATGCATTGTTGTACCATGATATTATGGTACCATATGCCATCAAATGAGTTGGGTGTGTTTATGAGATCAAGTTGATTGTCGACAGGTAGGCAAGGTCCGACGTCATGCAACATACTCCTATATGCAAAGGCAGTGGGTGCGTAGAAGCAATGGCTTTTCAGCAAAGAAAACGATAACGCAGTGGGACAATTATTTGGGAAACTTGAGTACCTTTTCAGGCTCGGTTGCTGTCCTCCTGAGCGTTTTGGAAAGACGGATGTAACCAAATGACCGGAACACTGACATAAAGGCGGCAACGATGCCAAGTCCGGTCGCATAGAATGTAAAGGGAGATGTTGCATTCCCGGTAGCAACTGCGGAGAACGACAAGATCCCAGCCGAAACGGTTGTGCACACCAACTGAGACCAGAATGCCAGGGTACCCAAATTCTTGAAATACCGCGCTGTTTTCTCTAGCCTTTTGCTAACCTGCAAACCAAAAAAAAAAAAACACAGAGCAAAAGATGATATATGAGCCGAGTAAACAGCATGAAGAGAAGCAATGTCATCAGTGGACCATGGAAACCATATTCTGAAACAGCACCTGGACACTTGATTTACAGCGTTAACTTTTAGCCAGATATCATACTAAGAGTAGAATACCAAAACGACAGTAGCAACTTTAGGAATCGTGGATAAAATAATATTGAAAGTTTGACATATCATGTTGAAGTCATGTAGCCACCTCATTAGCACGAAGATTTTGATAGAACAAAGAAAAGGTGTGCAGCAAAGTGTCTTTAACCAGAGAGCAAGTGGATGCACAAATTAAGCGTGTGGAGTGAGAAAAGAAAAATCCATCCCAAAACATATACTAGTTGATGCAGGTATCTAAGTGTTGGCTAGGTAAACGCCCCGTAGTAAGAGGGGTAGTTATGAACCCTGTGGACCACCCCCATGGGGGCGGTTAAGGGAAAGCTCCCATTGGTAGAAAAAAACCCACAACCCCTTGGCCCAGTATCAGCCCTGCTGCGCTTGGAAGAAGAACTACATCCCCATGCTCAGTATCAGGCCTGCTGCCCTGCAGGATTGAACAAGGATTGCCCATGCTCTGTCTGCATATCCTTAATGAACACGAACTCTGAAGTGTCAGCATGTACCTCACGGTTTCCCAGTCATTCGTGCAGCAATCGGGCAAACGGCAAGAGGCTGCGAGAATCTGAATTTCCCAGAGGCACTAGACCAGGAGGCAGAGCCGGCGTTGGTCTTTTGGTTGGGCAACAGGAACCCCACTAAGCACGATGGTATCACAAACTGTCACTACTAACTAGGGCTCAGCAGATCAGCGGGGG